GATCTAATGCTCATAAGTACCTATTCATGCATCCGTTAGACTTCAAATACGAGATCTACGGACCCGAAGGTTGTCCCAGGGGTGTTGTTACTTTATGGCTAAAAAAACAGGTGACCCCTGTTATTCACCCTCCGAACAAAGCCAAGAAAGAGCAGATAGTAGACCTTTCCTTTTATGTAAGTAGTTCAATACCCTTTTAATTTTTTACAATTCATATGTACCAACAAGCATGGGTCTTAGAATTGATGATATGTTGTTATTATCAGTATGTACCATCAACCATGTAGATGGTACGTAAACGTTGTTATGATATGTTGTTATTATCAGTATGTACCATTAACCACGTAGATGTTATATTATTACGTTGGTATGATAATGGGTACCAACAACCTTTGGATTCATACATGATGGTATGTTCTGAATTGTGTATTGTACTAATCATCTTGAACATACTATTGTTGCAGTCTAACGACAGTGATGTAATGAACAATTTGCAATGTAGAAAACGTAGCATTTATTCATAAACCATACCGAATTTTAAGATAATAACCTATAAGAACATTTTTAGATAATAATCAACCGTACAAATTGTTGAAAGTGACTAAGAAGAAAAGGAAAAGTGCATTACAATTAAGAAAATAATGAACCCTACAAGATCCCTTTTCAGAACACCGATGGAATCACGAATCATTTTCAATTGCGATGACATGTGACCCAAACCTATACCAATCAACTTCTTTGGAACCATGTCTATGAGGAGAATGTATTTCTGGCCACGTCGTTACATCCAATTAGATATCCATTGTGAACGTCGCCCCGACACCGACAATGCCAACTTGATCCCTAGAGGTATCACTGCTCTACATTGGAATGCAAGGGGTGTTGATCGTCCTTCATTCATTCAAAACTTCAGAACGCTATTCAATGATCTTCGTTAAGTTATACGGGTCATTACCGAGTCTCGAGTTAATCCGGAAACCTTAGTCAAACTTGTTGCTCAAATGCCAGGAAGTATCACGTGTTGTGTACATGTCCTCATGGGTGAGTTGGTGGTGTATTTCTTGTTTGGAATCAACATTCAAGTCAAGGTTCTTAGATGCTGCTAATCTCACCTCCAACCCGTTCTACAATGAGTTGTTTGACGTTTCTTTCTCGTTAAGGTAATTATTGAAACTTGTAACAAGTACTACCATTAATACATTTTCCAATCTTAATTGTTATGGGTAGCATGGTGATGTGTGCCTGTTGGTAATACTAACGGATGGGCTGTTTGTACTATTTAATGTTTCTAAATATATCCATTGGTACAACTATATTTGTTCATAATACCAATACATTGATATATTTGTACGTTAGTATGGGTTTACATAACCAGTGCAGTCAATTGGTATACCATCTAATGTAAAACCTCCGTGTACTAACGGATGGGCTGTTGGTACTACTTACTGTTTCTAATTATATCCATTAGTATAACTATCTTTGTTCATAATACCAATACATTGATATATTTGTACATTAGTATGGATTTACATACTAATGTAGTCAATTGGTATATCATCTAATGTAGAACATCCATGTATCATCTAATGTAGAACCTCCGTGTACTTTGTGCAGCAACGTTAGGCGTAGCTTGCAAGAAATGAAGAATGGAAACATATGACTATCCACCTACCATCTGGCAAGCGAGTAATTGTAATGGAGTTATTTTGTTATAGTAAATGAAATATTATGCATTCAAGTAATTGTAATGGAATTATGGAGTTATTGTGTAGTAGTAATTATGTAATACCTATTATGTATAAGACTTATTTTAAGACTTATTATGTTATAATGTAATACTTATTAACCTTATACCGTTATTGTGTAATACTTACTATGCTTATTATGTTATTGTGTAATACTTATTATGCTTATTATGTTATTCTATCATAGTTAACCGGGTGGTATGCTATCATTTCACCTAATGATATATATTATAACGTCAATGGTAGAAAACATATACCAATGCAAGGAACTACTGCCTAAACAACTATAAAGCGAACATTAAATGATAGAATTAAATTCCTTAACAATGAAGGTGTATTACACAATAATTGCTCATGTCTTCAATGACAATAGCAAAGTTCTGTTGGTATTATAAGATTTCATGTTGGTATAATTACTAGACTAATATGATGGCCAAATAAACCAACAAGATTGTTGGTATGTATAGACTTAATGTTAGTACAATTACTATACAACAAACACTTGTTATTATCATTCATGACTATAGTAATTATGGGCATGGACTTTCTTGTGAGATAAAATATAACATTACATTCAATTTCTATCCAACTCTCTTTCTCTTTCATCCAAAAAGAACACCACTTTGGTCTCCACTCTATTCTTCTTTTTCGAATGGAGAAAAAAGATGAACAAGATAACCACAAAAAAGGTAAGTAATGGTGTCAGGCGAAGTCCAAGGCTCCAAACTCGATTTTATACATACGCCAAAAAGGGAAAAGCTAAAGTTGAAGAGTTTGACATTGGGAAGGAACTTGGAGAACCAGGGGAAAGGGACGTCAAGGATGTGATTGGAGCAACGGCAATTGAAAAGAGATCAAAAGACATGCTCCAACCACTTCTGGTTGCAACTTATGCTCGTCGAGGTACGGCGTCAATAGACGGGTTACGATTTCATCCCGATTATCCCTATTTATTAACACCTCTTAAGCTTGGATACCATGGGAATTTAAGAAAGAGGCGTACTGATTTCTATTTTACTTGTTGGACGTTTACAAGATAGCTTTCAGTTTTGATGTGCCGAAGTTAAGGAAAACAATAGTTGGGTGCATGGAAAAAAAAGTGTGCATACTACTGGCTTGGACAGTTCTTCACCCTCATAAGACCATTAGAAGCATGGTTGGACGATGTTGACGAGCAAATTGAAAAAAATGTCCAAGAATCAGGAAAGTGGGGGTCTGTTGGTACTAGGAAGAAAGTTTTCCGGAACGATTTCCGATCACATAAGCATCACTTGTGAGTGGATAAACTTCTTTGATTAGGATATGTTCTTTCAGTTAAACCATGATAAGGAAATTTTCCTAGAGTTCAAAAATCATATGATGGAGGAAAATGGCTTTGATGTTATGAAAAATATCGATGTGCTACTAACAAACCCATACATCTCAGAAGACCATCCAAAAGATTACAAAGCACGTATGGATTGCGCTTCAAAGAAGTACGCCGATAGACTGTTATTTGAATTGGACGTCACTGATTCAAGTTCCTACACCAGCGAAGATACAGATGGTAGTGAAGAGATTTAAGATTGGCTATGTTGGTAACATTAACTTTTTGGGTCTCTTTGTTGTGATGGTATACTTAACGTCTCGGTTGGTATGGTCAAGGCTACAAACAACTCAGGTTTTAGGAACCCCTTTTTGCTTAGTATGTAAGGTCGTACTAATATCTCATGTGTTTAGCTCACTATGTATGAGGTTCCTAATAGATCAATTTTTAGGTTTAAGTGAACAACTACTATGTATGAGTCAACTACTATGGATTGTATTTACTATGGCATGTCTTATATGTACTATTTAATTATTGTGTTAACTACTTTGGATTGTATTTACTTATTTATGAACATGATCTATCATCTCATGACTTATTGGTTTTCACATAATATATCAACTCACAATAAGTTGGTATGAATATGATATACCATCTCAGGTTTAATTGGTATTCCGTTGATATACAAATTGAAGTTACATTGGTATACCATCTGAGGACAAATTTGAATTATATGAACATGATATACCAAGGTTGGTTACATTGGTATTAATATGGTATAACATATCAGAATAAGATAATATTAATAACGATATTGTTGGTATTAATAATAACTGCAATGACCGATCTTCTTTTAATTAAATAAAAACATACATTAAGTAAATTAGTACAAAATCCAACAACGTTTAACAAGTAAATAATTTAGTCATTGGGTGAACTTGAAAATTCATCGAGTCCCAAGTTCGGAACATGTCTTGCTGGAAAGAGTTGAGCTCTGGGACCACCGTAACACACTTGGGCCTGCAAAGTGTTCGTTGTAAAGTATCATGGAGGCAGCGCCTCATGCGCTTCATTGGCCTGATTCAAGTGAATCCCACCAAGAAACATCCGACCACCATCATTATAACATATATCGGAATGTTACCAATTCCAGAAAAATACATTTGTTCCCACTACAACAAAGTGAAAAAACAATTAATCAGCCAATCGACACATTATCCCCAACAACAAATGTAATGTTGATCATAATAACAACATGTTATTTGTCGGTTGGTGATGCATCCTCAGAAATGTATGTAGAGGTGGAAATGTTGGAGGTTTAACCACCTGGGTTTGCATTGTTAAAACCCTAGAAGACATACCAACATGAGCACCCTAGCATACATAGTTAAAATAAAAGATTACTAGCAACATATTAACCCAACAAATAACAACTATCTTACACTCAATATTCTGAAACAATGAATACCTACACAATAAAGGCAACTAAAATTCACCTGATGCGCAATGTCTTGAGGAACTGCCTCGTTTACAGTGGGGCCATTGACCTTCACCGTGGATTTTTTTTTCCGGCCTCCTCCACTCTTCCCGGTAGTAGACGTTTCAACGGCAGACACATATTGACCAGCCCGTGGTCTTCCTTTTTTAATTTTATCCCTTGGTTCGGGGTCTTGAACAGCAGCTATACAAGGTGTGTGCTGCGGACATTAATCACTTGGTGTGTGTTGCGGGTTTGGGGTTGTTCCACTTGTTGTGTTCTGTGGGGTAAGTGTACGTGTGTTGTGTGGGGTGAGGGTACTAGAGCAACTAGATTTATTAACAGAACAGGGAGTGGAAGGTATAGCATGAGGGTTACCTTCCCTTTCCTCAAGTGGCTTCGCAGTACGAACAGAAGAAGGGGAAAAACCATCTCCAGATACACCTAATTCATCTAAACAAAGGCTCATTAACTAAATCATATCCATAAGTATCTCTACAGCTTGATCCGAGGCAGAAGCACGCATAACCATTGGTTCAAGGCCAACCATCATTTTATCATACCTTATCACGTCTTCTGTTTTTGAGGGATCATGATATGCCACTTTCACAAGGGTGTGATTCCTCTTAATGTCTTTTCTCCACCTATCTAAAATATACATAAAGGGCACCTCCGTCACATCATTCACGTCCAACACCTTTATTATGTGCCTACATACAATTCCATGGCATTCAAAGTGGCGGTACAATGCCATGGCATTCAAAGTGGCGGCAATCACAAAACGCCTCCTTCCTCTCTTTGTTATACACAACAACATATTGCTTAGACTTCTCCTTAAGGGGAATTTCCCTCTTCAAAAACTTGGAATATATCCATACATGGTCCATAAAGACATACTCCACTTCACTTTCAAACAATATCTTCCTAGATTCACAAGTTAGATACCTAAGCCTAGTACACTGATTTTGTACTTTCAAGAACTTGGCATCCGTATACAGTTTTTGGAATTTCCTCTCGATAGAGAATTTTGTGGCTAACGGCCTTACATACTGGAATGCATTTGCATCAGCCTCCCTTTCATCATTAGCCCGGCTTTCCATTGCCTTACAATAACAGGGAGCAAACTCGGACAGCCTTGTGTGTTTATTTAGATAGCCAACAAAAAAATTGTTGATGCTTTCAACTCGTTGTGTAGTCTGCATTCCGGCCCAAAAAACATCCTTCACGTACGCAGGAATCCACATTTATCGCTCTGTATACAAACCTAATACAAACACAAGGACAATCCTTAAACTATAACCATTATATACATAATTATTACACTACTGGAATACCAATAACCCATTAATACAACAACAACATCTGCATTGGTATACCAAAATACAACATAATTACACCACTGGATACCAACAACACCCATCAATACACCAAGATCATCTGCATTGGTATACCAAAATAAAGCATATACCTAAATCAGAAATTGAAAAAGCAAGGCACCTATGAAAGTAAAATATCAACATAAAAAAACATATGGATTTAGATGTTCAAATTATGTGCATATTTCAGCCAACCAACCAACCAACAAACATATGAGAGCACAACTTCAACATCAACAAACATATGAATTTACATGTTCAAAATAAGCAATAACAACAACGTAACATAGTCACAAACAAGAACATTTTCCATACAATTCACATAAAGCCTAATGCAATTACAAATATTAACATAAGTTACCTTCAAGCCACTCATAGCACTCTTTCCCTTCTAGCTCCAATTGCTTAACAGCTTCCTACTACGACTGTTCAAAATCCTTCGGTGTCAAGCTATTGTAAATCACATGCTAAAGTAATTCTTTCACTTCTGGGTAGTTGGCAAGGGCACCAAGTTTTGAACCAAACTTTTTCATCATATGCTACATGCACCGGCGATGCCTAGTCTCCGGCATAGGAAAAACAACATTAATGGCCTTCCTCATTGTTGAATATTTAGAGTGTTGATGGTTGCGCGATCGCGACCATGAAGGAGCGCCCGCGCAAGTTTGGCAGGTCGTGCAGAGAGCGCGCCTAAACCGCGTACCTCTCTGGAATTTGGATCTTTGGAAGGGTAAGGTTGGCGCACCCGCGCGTCTGGTGGCGTGCCCGCGCTGCTGGTCGCGCCTAAACCGCGCCCCCTTCTGCTTTCCTGTGGAAATTTCGTATATCTGATGAGGAGCGCCCGCTCCACTTTTAAGCGCGCCCGCACCACCCTGTTTTGCGGTTTTCCTGATGGTTGAGTCTTTATTAAAGGCTTGGTTTCGTAAAAGCTTTTACATAGAAGAAATTAATCGGTATCTCTCAAAAGGAATTCTACACAATTTTCTCTCAAAAACTTCTTGCAAACTTTTGTGAGAAATCTCTTCCAATTAATCCAATTTTGTGAATTAGTCATCTTCAATTTGTTTCTTAGTGCAAAGAACAATTGACTGTCTTTTGTATCTCAAAGAGTATTTCCAGATTGAACCCAAGCATCGTTGTGGGGGAAATTAAACTCTTTACGAATGTGTTCACACGCCTAAGTCAGTGTATCAAGGATCGATACTCAAGTGGTCATTGTATTTCTCATGTTCATGTTCGTTTTCTAAAGGTTGGAGTTGAGGCAAGTGTAATATCTTTCACATTAGTGTTTTCTTTTGTAATTTCAGAATTACATTGTATATTTGGTGCTTGGATTGTAATACTTTGGTTAGTATTTGGATTGTTGTATAAATTGATATTAATAATACACTGTTTAGGTTTTGTTCCCATAATATTAAGTAATTCTTATTGTCTTGAATTACTGAAAACCTAACAATCTAAAGAGTTTAATTTTAGCAAGCATGTCTAGTGTGAAAGAATTGACCACAAATTTTGTTAAACTTAAACAGTTTGATGGTGTGGAGTTTCGAAGATGGAAGAAGAAGATGTATTTTCTTCTTACATCTTTGAATGTAGCCTATGTCATTAGTACTCCAAGGCCTAGTGAACAGGAGAATGAATCCTTGGAGAATGTTCGGGAAAGATCGAAATGGGACAACGATGATTTTATTTATCGTGGTCATATCTTGAATGGTATGGAGGATGACTTATTTGATGTTAACCAAAACATTAAGCCGGCCAAGGAGCTTTGGGAGTCTTTGGAGAGCAAGTACATGGCAGAGGACGCTTCAAGTAAGAAATTCTTAGTTAACAATTTTAATAATTTTAAATTTGTTAATGGTCGGTCCATAATGGACCAATTTCATGAATTGCAACGTATTTATGGTAGCTTGGAACAACATGGAATAGCTATGAATGAATTATTTGTTGTTTCTAGTATCATTGATAAGTTACCCCCTAGTTGGAAAAGTGTTAAGCATGACTTGAAACACAAGAAAGAGGACATGACATTGTCCGGTTTGGCCACCCATCTTCAAATTGAAGAAGGGATTCGTGCCATGGAAGGAGATAAGAATGGAAATCCTAGCACATCTACCGTTAATATGGTAGATGAGGGAAGAGCTAGTGCATCTACTAGTGGAAAGAGGAAGAATAATAATTCTTCTAAAGGAAAGTCCAAAAAGCAAGCAAACAATAACAAGTTTGCTTGTTGGGAATGCGGTAAAGTTGGTCACCGCAAGAAGGACTGCTTTTATTTTAAGAAAAGGATGGAGAAAGCCAAGGAGGCCCGTGCTAATGCAAGCAAGGACCCACCCACCAAAGGTAATCCAATTCATGAGGTTGAATTTAATTCCGGTTAAGATTTAAATGCAACGGATCCTAACATTTTTATGGTGCAGGATGATGACTCATGGTGGATTGATTCGGGGGCTTTAAGGCATGTGTGCAAGAGTAAACACTGGTTCAAAACCTTTCAAAAGGTTGTTGATGGAGAAGACCTCTACATGGGGAACAACTCTACCATCAAGGTTCTTGGAAGAGGACAAGTTGAGCTTGTGTTTAGTTCAGAGACTGCAATAATTCTTAGGAATGTTTTGTATGCTCCGGAAATTAGTAGGAATCTTGTATCCGGGCCTACTCTGAATAGTCTTGGCTATAAGCTTGTATTTGAAGCTAATAGATGCATAATTACTAGGGGTGTAACATTTATAGGTCGTTGCTATTTGGAAAATGGTTTATTTAAACTCTCTTTGAGAGATAAGTATGTATTGGATGGTTTATGTTTGAATGTTGATGTCAATGATAATCATGTTGATTTGAATATGTTTGACTTGTGGCATTCTAGATTAGGACATGTGAATTACAATAAAATGTTTATTATGTCCAAACAAGAATTGATTCCTTCTTGTGATATTTCTCCTACTAAATGTTCTACTTGCATGTTGAAAAAGATCACTAGAACTCCTTTTAGGAGAGTTAAGAGAAGTTCTAATATTTTAGAACTAATCCATAGTGACTTGTGTGATTTTCATAGTACTCCTTCTTTGGGGAACAAAAGATACATAATTACATTTATAGATGGTTATTCTAGGTTTTGTTATGTGTATCTTTTGCATTCCAAAGATGAAGCTTTAACAAAGTTTGATGTTTATAAAAGAGAAGTAGAATTGCAAGTAGAGTCATTAATTAAGAGAATTAAAACTGATAAGGGAGGGGAATATTATGATCCTGCTTATTTCCAATCTTTGGGTATAATTCATGAGACTACAGCGGGTTATGCACCACAATCAAATGGTGTAGCTGAAAGGAAAAATAGAACTCTTGAAGAAATGGTTAATTCCATGTTATCTTACTCTGGTTTGAGTGAAGGGTTCTGGGGTGAAGCAATGTTGACAGCTTGTCACAGTCTTAATCGGGTTCCCACTAAGGGAAAACAATCTACTCCTTATGAACTATGGTACAAAAGAAAGCCAAACTTGAAATATCTCAAGGTTTGGGGTTGTAGGGCAATCGTAAGAGTGCCTAGCAACAAGAAAAGAAAGCTCGGTGAAAGGGGCTTGGATTGCATATTTATAGGTTATGCTGAGCATAGCAAAACCTATAGGTTCTATGTAATTGAACAAAATGACTATATATCGATTCATTCGATTATTGAGTCAAGATATGCAATTTTTGATGAAAATCGATTTTCATCAATGAGTAGACCGAAAGATCTACAAATTAGTGCCAATGATAGGGAGATAGTAGAGTTGAATGATCAACTTGAAACTCATGAAAGTACATTCAATAATGAGAATGTTGAAACTCCTCAAGTAAGGAGAAGTACTAGGGAAAGGAAAATTAGGAATCCTCTAGATGACTTCATAATTTATTTAGTTGAAGGGTCTAGGGATGTCCTTAGTTCTACTACTCCATATTGTTTCAATGTGGATAGTGACACAAAGACTTATAGCGAGGCCATATCTTCCCAAGATAGTGCATTTTGGAAGGAAGCTATAAATGATGAGATGGATTCCATCATGGGAAATAATACTTGGGTCATAGAGAATTTACCTCCCGGTTGCAAACCTCTTGGTTGCAAGTGGATTTTCACTAGGAAAAGGAGACCGGATGGCTCTATAGTGAAATTTAAAGCCAGATTGGTTATCCAAGGTTTTAGGCAAAAGCATGATGTTGATTATTTCGATACCTATGCACCGGTTGCAAGAATTACCTCGATAAGGTTACTGATTGCAATGAATTCGGTATATAATCTAGTAATTCATCAAATGGATGTCAAAACGGCATTCCTTTATGGAGATCTAGAGGAAGAAGTGTATATGAAACAACCCAAAGGGTTTGTTTTGGAAGGACAAGAAGATAAAGTGTGCAAATTAGTTAAGTCATTGTATGGACTTAAACAAGCACCAAAATAGTTGCATCGGAAATTTGATGACACAATTTTGTCCTTTGGATTCAAAGTGAATCAAGCTGATAAGTGTATTTATAGCAAATTTGATGACAAAGGTCATGGTGTCATCATTTGTCTATATGTTGATGATATGCTTATCTTTGGTACAAGTCTATAACAACTAGAATTGACCAAGGAATTCTTATCCTCATCTTTTCAGATGAAGGATTTGGGGGAGACGGATGTCATTTTGGGCATCAAGATTATAAGGGACAATGGAAGACTTATCTTGAGTCAATCTCATTATATTGAGAAGATGATCAAACGGTTTAATATGTTTGATAAGTGTCCTGTGAACACCCCCATGGAACCTAATGTTAAATTGGTTAAGAATTCAGGGAAAACGGTTTCCCAATTGGAATATTCAAGGATAATTGGATCCTTGATGTATGCCATG